GAAGAGGGAAGCGGCCAACAGAGCCCGAGACCCCAGGAATCGTGGGATCCAGCAGCAATCCGCGCCAAGATGTCGTCCCTCCTCGATGAATCGGGGAAAAAAGAAAAGACAACAAACCCCGGGACACCCGAGAGCAGAGGGGGCCTTCGGGATGTTTCACAGAATACACTCCGCTCACGGCTTCCCGCGAGCACATCTTAGCGGAGTGTGCGAGTACGGACTTCAAAGATGGCGGAGTCAAACGTCCCCGACCAGCTCCTGCCAAAACCGGGGTGGACATGAGCAAATACTGTCAGTACCACCGGAGCCATGACCATCTGACTGAAGACCGCGTCCACCTCAAAGACGCCATCGAGACCCTCATAAAAGGGGGGGGGGAGACTCGCCCAGTACCGGGGAAATGATGCTCCTCGTCGCGACGCCCGCGAGATGAGGGACGCAGAAGAGGATGCCCGACCATCTGACGAGTCGGTTCCTATCCAAACCGCCTTCTCCGTCACAAGACTCGAGGACTTCTACGTCCCCGACCACATCCAAGAACCGCTGTCGACGCACAACAGGTGGGAACACTTTCCCTCCGCTATGGTCATCAATGGTGGAGGGTTCAATGACCTGACCATAAATTCAGCTAAGAGGAAGCTGGACAAATTAGTCAACACGACCCCCCTCAAACGATGACTTTTGAAAAAGTGAAGGGCAGGTCGGAACCTATCACCTTCTGTCTCGAAGAGCTCCCTAGAGGGGGCCCCAATTCGGTCATTCCTCAGCTGATAAGAGCAAGAATGGCCAACTTTAACGTGCACCACGTCCTCGCCGATGAAGGAAGTTTCGTCGACGTAATGTACAGCCAACTGTTCCGAACCCTGCAGCTCGATGACTCTCACCTTACGTGGGGTCAGACCTGCAGGGCTTTAACGGCTCAACTTCCAAGCCTTGGGGATACGTCGAGCTCATGGTAATGTTCGGAGAGGATACGACAACGAGGCAAGTCAAGGTGCGCTTCCTCGTCATTGATTGCCTGTCCCTCTACAATTGCATTATGGGAAGGCCGACATTGGCAGAGCTGACCGCAGACCCCAGTACCCTCCACCGTTCATCTAAAAATGAAGTTTTACACCAAGAGGGCACGGGTCGCCACCATCCAAGGGGATCTAGCAGCAGCCCGAAGGTGTTTTAACGCGACATCTAAGGGATGCGATACGGTGGACACCAGCACAAGGCCCGCCAAGAGAGCTGCGACAACACGACCAGAGCCTCAGAGGTCAGAGCCCGTCAAGGCGGAAGAGCAGAGAACCCCTCCAGAGGTCGACTCAATATCCCTGGACACCCGCTTCGACCAGGATGAGCCTCCTAGCGGCGAGTAAGTCCCCATTCGACCAATTCCAGACGGGGACTTCGAACTCGTCCCCCTCGGTGAGGACCCAAGCAGAGGAGTGAAGATTGGCACTGGACTCCCCAACTTGGCAAGGAAGCAAATCAAAGCTTGCTTGCGCGAGAATGTGGACCTATTCGCGTGGAGCGCTGCATAGATGCCCGAACTCGACCCTGAGGTCACCTGTCACCGTCTTGCCATAGATCCAGCCGCTAGGGCAGTAGTACAATATCGACGTAGGCAGTCTCCGGAGAAAACGGAGGCCGTTGAAAAAGCTGTAAAAGACCTCATATAGGCAAATTTTATTTCTGAAGCCTGGTATTAAACATGGTTGTCAAATGTTGTACTTGTCAAGTAAAATAATAGAAAGTGGCGAATGTGCGTTGATTATACCGATCTTAACCGGGCATGCCTGAAAGATGCATTTCCTTTACCTAACATAGATATGCTGGTCGACAACCCGATCGATTATAAAATACTATCATTTATGGATGCCTATTCGGGCTATAACCAAATCCCAATGGCAATAAGCGACAAGCATTGCACCGCTTTCATGACCAGCTCGGGCAACTATTACTACAACGTAATGCCCTTTGGTCTGAAAAATGCAGGAGCAACGTATAGATGATGAACAAAGTATTCCACAACCAAATCGGGGATATGCTCGAGGTATACATGGACGACATGATCGTCAAATTCCGAGCAGACACCGACCATGCCGCTCACCTCAGGGAAGTCTTTGCTCAAACAAGGCAATGCAAAATGAGATTTAACCCTGAGAAGTGCACGTTCGGGGTCAAGGTAGGGAAATTCCTCAGCTTCTACTTGACAGAACGAGGAATCGAAGCCAACCCCGACAAATGTCGGGATTTCTCCGACCTCCTCACGCCTACATCGAAGAAATCCATGCAAGTCCTGAATGGCATGCTCACCTTGTTATCCCATTTCGTTGCGAGATCCGCTCAGCACGCCCTCCCCTTCTTCAAACTTCTTCGCAAGGAAGCAGCCTTCGAATGGACCGAGGAATGCGAGCGGGCGCTGCTCCATCTTAAACAATGTCTATCTCAATCGCCCATGTTATCACGACCATTCGACGGGGAACCTTTGTTCCTATACCTGGCCGTCTCGGTCGAAGCCGTCAGCGTGACCCTCATTCGCGAGACGCCCGACAGATAAAAACTCGTCTAGTTCACGAGAAAAGCGCTTCAAGGGCCCGAGGTCAGATACCAACAGATAGAAAAGGTAGCGCTAACCCTCGTCAACGCAGTGAGAAGGCTCAAACACTACTTCCTCACGCACACGATCATAACATGAACAAACCAGCCAGTGAAACAGCTCCTGGGTCGACCAGACATGGCGGGTCGAATGTTGAAGTGGTCTTTCGAACTTTCTGAGTTCGACATCCAATACGAGAGCAGGAAAGCCCTAAAGGCACAAGCTTTGGCCGATTTCGTCGCAGAGATAACTGCACACAATCCCCTCGCAGGAAAAGAGCACAAGTGGATTATCTTCGTCGACGGGGCATCCAGCCCGTCCGAGAGCGGCGCCAGGATCCTCTTAGAGAACGAGGAAAGAGTGGTGATCGAGCACTCACTCACCCTCTCCTTTCCTACTTCGAACAACCAAGCGGAATACGAGGCCCTGCTCGCGGGACTAAGACTGGCCGAGGACCTAGGCGCCCGTGAGGTGCAAATTTTCACTGACTCTCAACTCGTCGCTTCCCAAGTCCAAGGAGGGTATCAGGCTAAAAACAAAACCCTCATCGAATACCTGGACTTAGTCAAAGAGTACATGAAGAGGTTCGACCGAGCAGAAATTTCGCACGTCCCGCGCGGGCAAAACACAAGGGCCGATATACTTTCGAAGCTCGAAAGCGCGAGAAAGAAAGGCGGAAACAAATCCGTCATACAAGAATCCCTATATTTCCCGAGCATCGAAAAAGCCTCGATTCCACCTGAGGTGAACGCCATCAGAGGCAACTCGTACTGGATGACCCCGGTGTTCAACTTCCTAACAAGAGGGGAACTCCCTAAGACCGAACAGAAGCAGCCGCGACCAAACGACGAGCGTGCTCCTACGTGGTGATCGAGCACAAACTATATCGCATGGGATTTTCCATCCCACTCTTGAAGTGCATCGATGAATCCACAGTCCCTGAGGTATTACGGGAAATACACGAAGGTATTAACGCCCAACACATGGGCGGCAAAACCCTAGCAAGGAAGGCTCTACGAGCGGGGTACTACTGGCCGACATGCAACAAGACGCCAAAGATCATGTCAAGAGGTACGACAAGTGCCAAAGGCACGCCGACATGCATCTTCCCCCCCCCCCCACACACTAGCTGAATATATTGTCATCCCCGTGGCCATTTACCTAGTGGGGGATGGACATCCTCGGACCATTCGTGCAAGGAACATACCGAAACAAGTTCCTCATCGTGGCCGTGGATTACTTTACAAAGTGGATAGAGGTCGAGGCCCTTGTGAAAATCACCTCCCATAACATCCTCCGCTTTTACAAACGAAACGTCCTCGCCCGATTTGGAATCCCGTAGGTGTTGATTACAGATAACGGTACCCAATTCACCGACCAAGGCTTCTGAAGCTTCGTCGCCAAACTCGGTACCAAACAACATTTCACCTCAATCGAGCATCCCCAAACCAACGGGCAAGCCGAGGCCGCCAACAGGGTCATCCTATGAGGACTTAAGCGCAGATTGGGCGAAGCAAAAAGGGGGTGGGTCGAGGAACTACATGGCGTCCTGTGGGCTTACCGCACCACGCCCCATTCGACAACGGGTGAGACCCCATTCCGACTAACCTATGGCACCGAGGCGGTCATCCCTGTAGAAATCATGGAGCCCTCCAGGCGGATGGAGATGCCTCTTAATGAGGAAATGAACGACGGAGCCCTGAGGGATGAGTTCGACCTGGTCGAGGAAATCCGATTGGGAGCAGCCCTGCGCGAGGCCACTTTGAAACAACAAGTAGCCCTACGCCACGACGACAAGGTCATCAGATTCGAATTCCAGCTCCACTGTCAAAGTACCCACATGGCAGAACACCCAGCTCGCGATGGGAAGTTCACGTCGCGGGCGTAGGACCCTGATCGCGGTCATACGCCCGACATGCGGATTCCACTCCGCACATTCGACACATTTCGAAGTGCGTCGAACCGTCACGAGGGCCGAACAGATATCTCCACTCGAACACAAACTTTACCAAGAATCCATTATAACAGTTGAGCATATGCCTAAATAACTATCAGGTAATTACAAACAAAGCATCTGTCGAACAGACAAACATAAATAAGGATTAATAATGTACCGACCACAACGGTCGGTGATATCCGAAATTACAAGTCCAGGCACGACGGCCAAAAAACTAAGAATAATACGGGTACGCAGGCCCCAAAAATAAATACGGGCACGCAGGCCCCAAAAAAACAATGAACGGGCGCGCATACCCAAACACCAACAAAGTATCAATCAATCCCCGGAGTGCTAACGTCGACATCAGGAGAGTCGGGGGGAGGCACAACCTGGCCGTCAACAATATGGGACAAAACTCCAACCCCTTCGGTGTTCAAACCTGGATTTAGCACGGATAGTTGACTCACCACAACCTCAAACCCATCGGCCAAAGCGCCAACGTAGTCCGACTCTAGGAGATGAATGCGAGCAATAAAGTATGCGTGTACGCAAGTCAGCCATCCCCTCCGGCTCATCCTCGGCGGGCAGCATAGCGGCTTTCAGGTCCTCGATCTCTCTCGATAACCCCTGGTTTTCGCTCTCCAGCCGTTCCCTATCAAGCTGAAGGCAATCTCTTTCCTTGAGAGCCCTGTCAGCCCTTTCCTTCTCCCCCGATAACAAATCAGACTGTTCGCGGAACATTTCCTCGGAGCGTTCGAGGGCTGCCTTCAACTTGCGAGACTTGGCCGCAAGAGCCGCCTTTTTTGACTCCAGTTCTCTGACCCGATCCGCAGAGTCTGATCCTTCCCTCGCGAGGACCACCGCCATCTCGGCCATCTTTACCACGCCAACCATACTGGCAGTAAGGTGCTTCCTCCAACCTTCCTTGTCAAGCCGCTTGATGATGTCGGCCTCATTGTCGGACACGGTAAAGGGAAACCCCTCGAAGAAGTCTTTCTCCACGAAGCAAGGTGGTAGGCCGAAAGCCCGAGCAGCCGCACCTCCGCCAGTCACTTCGACCCCATCGTCTGGTCGACTCCGCTTCTTGCTGACCAGCGCGGATTGGCGCTCAGCGTCAGGGGAACCCGAGGACCCACTGGATCCTTCCCTGCCCGAATCAGGAGGCGGGCCCATCCGCGTGGCCTGTTGCGGCCTCACCAGTCTCTTATTGATTTTCTTGTCCTGGGTTAACTTCAGCAGCCTTTCACGATGCTCCGCCATGTGACCTACAAAGGAAGCGAACAGGGGTTAGCTACGTACATTAAAAACAATTAAAAGGGAATAACAATAAGAGTAAAGCAAGAAACCTAAGAGGTCTACGGCCTGCCTGTAAGATTGGCACTCGACGAGCGCCTTGGTATTAATCAGACGCGCCTCGAATGTTGGATAGCCATCCTCGTCAAGAATGTCGTCCCCTTCCCTCGTGACCCACCGAGCAGGAAAGAAGCCATCAACAAACTTGTTTAGGATGCCATAAGCTTCCTCATCCTCAACACTCATACCCCCAACAGGTGTGTGGTAGTGTCCAGGACCATGGTCATAATGTCCCGAGCACCAGTGAATGGGAAATCTAGAGATTCGCCCGATCTCGGGATTACCCTCGGCGTCCAAACATGGCTCTCCATCCTCGTCTACCACAGTGGCATGTTCGAACAACGAATCTAAGGCCGTTTGGGTAGACGGTTGCAATATATATCACTTGTCTTTAAAATCTCGCACGGAGTCCATGTACATCCTAAATAGTCTCTTTGACTGCTTAAGGGACACCCAACTGTGCTTCCCTCCTCGGGACTACCGTTGTAAGTGAAAAACCCTGAAGACCAGGGGAATCGTCGCCCCAATCCTCAAGAAGCGACAAGTGAGCTCGAATGCACGGAGAAAGGCAATCGCGTTAGGGTGGAGTTTGGAGGGGGCCAAGCTCAGATGGTTGAATACCCCGACCTGGAAGTCATTGAAGGGAAACCGGAGCCCGAGATCTCTGAAGACGATCTCATTCATAGGAAATGCATCTTGTGTGAACTCCGAACAGATGCGAGCATCCCTCGACGACCTCATAATCTTGAAGTTCCTTCGAAATCCCTCTTGACCGCCGCCATACTCGACGACGGTATAAGCTTGTCTACTGGGGAGGCTATAAACCGAAGCTATTCCCCGGGGTTCAGCACCAACCCAATCCAGAGTGGGATTATCGACGGTGTCAACCAGGGTAATAGTTTCCTCTGCTGTGCTTGTTTCGTCGATGTCGTTACGCCCCGAGGACTCGGGAATATCGTCCATTTACCTGTAAAGTACAGGAAACCGGTGAATTCGACAGCAAATCTGCTTGCCCGCCACAAAGACAGGGAGAAGTAAGCAATACTCAGATCGAGTCTACGGTCGTTCGCACAAGAAACGAGAAACAAGTGGATCTCGACCAAACACCGACCCCCAGCGGCAGACGCACATCAATCATGAACGACGCGAGCATAACATGAGTATCCCGGGCGAAGCATGAATCCTGCGACCAAGTTCATAATTTTGCTGGCCCAATACAAGAATACTACGAGTAAACTAGCCTACGTACTAACGAAAGGATGAATCTCCTGACCAGGTTCATGAATCTACTAGCCAAACGCATGAGTGTCGCGGGCACGATCATGAGCCGTATGCCTAAACCTATGAATATCCCGGGCACAACCATGAATCAGGCGCCTAGCGCGCTTAAATCTATCGGGCATAGTCCCCAGACACAAGGTTCTACTACTAAAACATCGTCAAATCTATCTACAACACAAGAAATAAAAGGGAGAAGACACTTACTTGGAAGAAGATTTGAAAAGCGACGGTGGTGGAAGTAATCGGACGACAAACGGCGCGGCGGTCCCAGCGACGTTATGAAAACTCACGAGAGTGAAAACCGAGAAAATATGAGAAGCGTGAAGAGGTGAAACGAACTATGGGCCCTGGAGCCCTATTTATAGAGATGACGTGGAATATGAAACGTCGCGCCGGGGAACCACGAACCGCCCCCGTCCTCGACGCCTACTTGCATAGACAATGATGGCCCTATTCCCTAGGTCGGCTTTGTGGTTTCCAAGAGCCGCACCACGTGTCTAACTGATGCATCATCACCTCCCCACAAAAACTCCTCGAATGCTCCTCGATCACCGCACAGGGAAAATCGCAAACCAGGCGATGCCTATTCTCCTCGGTTGAAAGCCCTTGCGTCGCGCAAGAGAGTTTCACGGAAGAACGAATTTGAGTCAAGTCACAACTCCCGTACCAGGAGCAACGACTTGGGGGGCTCTTGTTCTGGACTGGGCCTGCCCGTGGCCCAATCACCAGCGACGCCCAATCCAAGCTTTACAACATACCGTGCTAAATATTAGACTCCTCGACACGCCTCGATCATGGTTGTCGTCGAATACAATTGTGCCCGTCGGTGACCGCGAAGAACGTCCTCGACGAGGGATGTCCCAGACGAGGAACATCCCAATCCAGGCCCTGCTCGAGCACCCTTCTCGTAGGGCAGACTCTTAACCTCTCTGAATATCTCAGAATCCTCAGGGTCCCGGGAAGATCGCGTCTTCACCTCCCTATTCTGCGGAGAGCATCATCCAGGTAGGAGACCACGTGCAGGTCCCCATTACTCCACGTAGAACCTGACAGTCCCTTTGTTGGGCCTGTTTGGTCAGCCCAATAAAGGGACCTTGGCCCAGCGCCGGGGGCTATAAATACCATCTATTTCAAGAGGGTCAGGTATTCATTTCATTCACATCTACATACTACTTGTCTGCTCATTCCGTCTCTCACTTTGTCATCGGAGTGTCTTGCAGGTACCCCCCATCTCCTTCAAATCCAGTTCAAACCAGCTGTGACGGTCCAACTCTGGTCAGGTACGATCAACTTCCAATCATAATGCATAAGCATGAACCATGCTTCATGCACATCTGAAGACAATCACCATTGCCACCAGTCATCTATCCTATGTTATTCCTCATTGAATCTCTACAGTAGGTTCCCTAAAAAATCTCAAAAGTAGATTTCCTATTAAAGCTCGGCATAAGGTATTTCCTCATCAGAATCTCGATAGTAGATTCCTCAGTTAATATCGTCAGTTGGTAATTCCTCAACTGAATCTCGACAGTAGATTCTCTGGTTGATCTCTGTAGAAGATTTTCCAGTAGACCTTGGTAGTTGGTAATTTTCAGTTGAATCTCGATAATAGATTTCTTGGTTGATCTCGATAGAAGATTTTCTAGCAGACCTCGATAGTAGATAATTCCTCAATTGAATTGTGGTAGTAGATTCCCTAGTTAATCTCAGCAGAAGATTTTCCAATAAAAAACCTCAGTAATAGGTACTTCTTAGCAGAATCTCGACAGTATATTCTCTGGTAAATCTCAGCAGTGGACTTCCCATTAAAGCATCCGCACAAGGTATTTCCTCAATATATCTCAGTAGTAGATTCCCTGATTAATCTCGATAGAAGATTCCATAGTTCCCGTCTTACAAGCCATTAAAGTCCAGTTCTTGCTTGCCTACTACATGCATCACATGCATCATTTCATGTATATCACATGGCATGCATAAACAAATGCATTGACCTAAAACATACCATGTATTAACACTTGCATATGTATGAAACATGCATACTTGACATATCATATATCAAGGGTTATGATTCCTCGAAAAAAAATCCAAAATCAATCCCCAACTAAGTCGGTGAGAGCCCTCGAACTAGGCTTATCCCTTATTACCATGCATCCTAGCCAGTCAGTTATACATACATTCCTCAATTGAACCAAATTACAATCCTCAAGCAAGTATTTCAGCAACTAGGCTCATTAACTTTTCTCAGTAGACTTCCTCACAAAGTCTCATTTGTAGCATGTTCCCCAACAACACTTTCGTGTTTGCCTTGTTAATCCCTTAGTTTAGGCAAACTATTTCATGTTTACCTTGTTAATCCCTTAGTTTAGGTAAACTCTTTTCATCTTGCCTTGTTAATCTCTTGATTTAGGCAAGCTTTTATTATCTTTCTTATTTGGCTTGTTAATTCCTTGGTTTAGAAAAACTCTTTCCTATTTACCTTGTTAATCCCTTGAATGTCATATTAGCTTCCAAACATTCACAAAAACAACAACCCGCAAGCGTTTTCAGCAATTAGATTTGCAAGGATTTAGAAGTAGACGAAACGAAGAAGAAATCTCCAACTGCTGCACCACCACTCTTGCGAAACTAGCCGCGGACGACTCCAACCTTCTCACCTCCGTAAGACGCCCAACCGACTCTAAGACACATCCGAACATAACTGATGCTCCCCATACCGCGTCTGACAACGTCAATCCCTCCTGGTCACGCATTCGTTCACTGCACCACCTGCAGCATCGTCGGACACGCCGTAACCCTCTCAATTGCCGGCCAGCCGCCGCAGACAGCTTTATCCAGTAACCTCATCCATTAGTTTTTTTTTTTATTTCTTTGCTTGGTTGTTTGTTGTCTTTGTAAGCAAAATTATAGAATGAAGGGTAGGGAAGTCATAAAAAGGAAAACAAAAATGAGAAACTAATGTTTCTCTCTCCCTATGCGTGTATATTATGCACTGTGTTTGTTTATTTACTTTATTTTAATTTATTGGAAATACCACATGTCACGGTTTAATTGGCTAGAGGGAAAGTTTTTTTTTAACATCTAGAGGAGAAGTCTTAAAATCAAAGAAAAAATCTCATGGTGTGGTACCGCACCAGCTGGTGTGATGTGGTTTTTTATTTTTATTTTGTATTTATTTCTTTATTACCTTATGTTTCTATATACAGACCTTTTTCATTTTTTTTTTCTCTTGTTAGTATTTAATTAATTAGGACATTTAGGTTGTTTAATTTAGTCATTATTCAAAAGTAAAAAAAAAAACAATAAAAATATTAAAAACATAATATTGTTTCATCTTATTTAATTAATTTGTATATATATATTAGGTTTTTCCGATTCAATCAACATTCACACCACTTGTGAATAAACTAACCTGCACATAGAGGTCTAATTCAAATTAGACATCAACTCATCAAATTAATCTTTTCACTTTGTGCGACAATCAAATAACTTTTTGTTCCCGTGCGCGTCTAATTCAAAACTAAGACAAATCATTTTCACTAGCTAAAATTAACCAACCAAATAAACTTTGAACTACGACGACTCTGACTTTCGCATCCCTTGATGAGAGTACGTAGGCATAAGATTGC